AATTAAAAGATTAAATGAAAAAGTGAGGAGACAAAGTAAGAAAAAGGCTGATTTTAAAATTTTAATGAGGGATATAAAGGACAAAAACTATGTTAATGATGATCATGCGGCTGTGTTGGAGCAGTGCGCAGGCCCCAAAGATTTTCTTAAGAGACAAATTTCTAAATCGGTAGGATTGCCTATGAAAAGGCAATACAGCAAAGAAGTTCGAAAATTCGCATTGACGCTTCACTTTCTGTCTCCAAAGGCCTATGATTTTGTTCGTCGTATTTACAATACGTGTTTGCCACATCCGAGAACTTTAAGTAGCTGGTACCAGAATGTAAACGCTGAGCCTGGTTTTTGTACACAAGCTTTTAATGCTTTGAAACTCAAAGCTCAAACAATTGAGATGCCAGTGCTATGTTCTTTAGTGTTAGATGAAATGGCTATCAGAAAGTGTCTTTGCTGGGATCCTCAAACTAAGACTTATTATGGAAGAGTTAACGTGAGCACTGACTGTGATATGGACTCACTAGAAGTAGCCAATGAGTGTCTTGTCTTACTCCTGACCTGTATAAACGGTTGTTGGAAGTTGCCTGTGGGATACTTTTTCATAACAGCTTTATATGGGAAAGTACTAGTAAAAATATTCATCCACAAATGTGAAGAAGTAGGTGTCAAAGTTGTGAGCTTGACCTATGATATTTCAGCTGCAAATTTTAGCATGTTTTCAACATTAGGATATGATTTCAATTCAAGCAAGACGACTTTTACTTACAGTAACAGCATCGTACACGCTTTTATTGATCCCTGCCATGCTATCAAACTATGTAGTCCGAATTGCTTTCGGATAACTAAGAGTGTTTTGTGATATTTATGCCAGGGAAATTAATTACATCTATCCGGAACATCTGCTAAATTTGCAGGAAGTAACAGGACTGCATATGGCCACGAAATTGAGAAAATCTCACGTACTTTATCAAAAACAAATAATGAAGGTACGACTTGCCACGCAGCTTCTTAGTGACTCGGTGGCAGATGCTTTGGAGCATTGTAGTAATTTAAAAATACCGGTATTTCAAGGATGTGAAGGCACAATTAACTTTATTAGGTTAATAAACAATATTTTTGATGTGTTGAACAGCCGATCAATTAGACCACCGGGGTGGGAAAAGGCTATTTTCTCTGGAAACATTGGTTTGTTGGAAGCTTTATTCGAAGGTGCTATAAGCTACCTTCAAAATCTGACGTTGCCATCTGGGCAGAAACTTGTAGATACTAGAAGAAAAACCGGCTTTGTAGGGCTTATTCTGGATATGATCAGTGCAATTCAACTCTATAAATATTTGATTGAGGGCACCAAAGTTTTACAGTACTTGCCATTATACAAGGTCAGTCAGGACCACCTCGAGTTGTTTTTTTCAGCTATTCGGGCACGAGGTGGCTTCAATAATAACCCAAACGCGGTTCAATTTAGGGCAGCTTTTAAAAGATTGTTGATAAGGGCTGAAATTAGGGCCTTGGTAAATGCGTACCCCTGGAACAAATTGATATACAAACCGGCTCTTGTAAGACTAACCCAGTCACGGCCATAAACGATTTGACAGAAAGAAATTCATTTGTTGAATTGCCTGAGGATGATAGTGAGTTGTAGGAAGAATTTATTCATTGCATGTACAACATCCTACCCAACTATTCCGACAGCGTAGTTACTTATATTGCTTGTTTTCTATCAAGAAAGTTGGCACTGTCTATAAAATGTGATATTTGCGCAAATTTGTTGTTTGGCGATCACAAAGACTATCAAAAAAGTTTAATAACTAAAGAACAGAGGTGGTCTGATTTACCCATCAACAGACGTGAAGCGCACTCTAATTAAAGTGGAAAAAATCTTAAAGGGTATTTTTCCATGTGTTCAGATTTTTAATGGAACAAATTGATTAAGCGAATTTGTTTAAATCAAACTGCGAACATGACACGACACATAGACTTTTACTTATTAAATCCATAGTCCAAACCTACACTGAGGTTTAAATACTTTGGAAAGAAAATAACAGAAAAAATTTCATTTCGATATTATTTTAATATATCTATATTATTTCGTAATACTTATTCGCACTTACTCATTACGAAATAATATAATAAATTATATTATTTCGTAATGAGTAAGTGCGAGTAATTTATGTTTGTAATAAATCTTTTTTAAATTGAAATTTCGGTTTTATTATGAAGTAGCGTCCGCCCGAGGTATCTTCTTATTCTATCTCTCGGGACCTCTAATCCTATATGTTAAATTTGTGTGCCAAATTATTACATTTAAACTGGTCTGATACGTTTGGCGGAATCGAGGAACAAACAAACATTCAAATGTTTGCATTTATTATAGTTTGATTAGTGTGAGTGTGATGACTGAGCCTAATTTATTGTCGAACAAACAAACAAAAATTCTTTAATTAGTATTTCTTGTTTAGTAATTCCTGAGAAATAATTGTAACATAAATAATAGATAGTTACATTATAAAAGCAAAACAAAATGACTACTTAAAAGTAATGAACTGAAAACATAGGTATAATTTATACACATATATATATATATATATATATATATATATATATATATATATATATATATTTCAGAAATGTCCTTTTAATTTCCTTTATTTTGATATCCCTATCGATAGGTTGAGTAAAAAAAATTAAGGACTTATAATTTGTCATCCGTCATATCGATTTAAAAAAACCTATCTAAGAACACTCGGATGTTTGAGATGAATCACACGAAATAATCTTTTTTCAAATAAGCACCACATTATCGATATTAAGTATAGTACGCAACACTACGACAAGCCGCCATCTTTGTGCCACACTCAATTTAGATATACACGTTTTTTTCGTAGGTATGTCATGTCCTTTCTTTTTTCTCTAGTCAAAGACTTCTGCTTACTTCATATCTCATAGTTCATACTTTCCAGTGTTGGGAAATGTACAATAATTATTTGATTCTTACAATAATTTGTTACACGAAACTAAATTGTACCATAAAATATAGCTTTCGCATTATTGTACGCTTTTATACAATATTTTCCTATTTTTACACAGTATAAGTTCAATACTAGACACACGCAACTTTAAAATGTATGAACGAACGCATCACGTACTTATACCAAATAATGTAGTTATAGCTTCTAAAAGCGCAAAACGTCTTGTATAGGAATGTATATGAACCCACGAAACAATTGGCAAATCAAATTGTCTCCAATGTCATGTATGCAACAACTTCTCAGCAGTCAAATCCGTCTACATCTACACGTCGAGATTTCGAACTCGAAGAAGAAGACGACTTCAAATTTTCCATTCCTATTTAGTTAATAGTACCCGGATGACGGAGCTTTGCTCGGTTTTTTTAAGTTACATTTATATACAAATTACATGAATAATAGTTTTTGATCTTATTGACATAATAGAAAAAACTGAACTGGTTATTTGAATAAAAAATCATGAGTGCAATTAGTTTAATTAAAATTTTCGTATTTTTAAAAAATACTAAATAAAGGTCTCGAATTAATAGATTTTCTCACAAATTTAGGGAACTTGAAAAAAAAAGGAAAAAAAGTCGGACGCAAGACGGGACGCGAACCACGGAACACCGATATCACGCCCGAACAACATCACATCTGAGCTATTACGATCGTTAGCAACCCGTCAAAATTTACCTTCTTATATTGTAGCAGTTTTTTTATTGCCTGAAAACACGGACAAAAGGACATTTTCTAAAAATAAATCCTAGCTAGATCGATTTATTGTCCCCGAAACTCCCTGGACACTAAATGAAAATCGTTGGAGCCGTTTCCGAGATCCCGATTATATATATATATATATATATATATATATATATATATATATATATATATATATATACACAAGAATTGCTCGTTTAAATTTAAAGGTATAGGATTGTATAATTCCGTGCCCTAAGTTTTATTATTTTAATAAAAAAACATTTAATAACATTTTTTAGTTTATGCAAATATAAAGAAATAGCAAAATCCTATTAAATTTGGATTTAGACAGCTTTAATAAATAAAAAAATCTTTCGCAAAAAAATACAATAATTCTACCCAAAATACAATATTTTCTAGCTTGGTAACATCATAATTTCACACCAACTATTTCTCAACACTGATACTTTCTGTATATATTCCTCTACTCTATGGTTCATACCATACGTCCACAGTAGACATGTGTAAATCATTCATTTCTAGCGACCGAATCATTCTAGTACATTTCGTCACGCGTACTGGTACATTCGGATCGATCATTCAAATGGATCATTTCAGGTTCCAGTACTTTGTGAGATCCATTGGGAACCGAAAATTTTTAAATTTATTTGCTACAAAATTAAACATTTACCTATCTTTTACTTATATATGATGGTTGAAAATTATCGTTAAATAAATCATTTATCCTGAAATCTTTTGAAGTGTTAATTTAAGTAAACTCTACGAAATGATATTTTTAACTCATAGATTTAACAAATTGTAAATTTAGTAAAATGTAAAATAATTTTTAATTTAGGTAACAATATTGTAATACAAAAACCCTTAAATGATAAATACTCCTGATACTCTACAGTCTGCATTGTTAATACGATTCCCCTATTTATTCAGATCATTCGGGATTCGGTCGGTTTGTGGCTCATTCACAATTTAAACAAATCGTGGGTAAAAAGGTACCGTCAGTTGTTTGTGACTGGTTGTACTGGTTCATTCAAAAACAAATGAATGATCCATCAATACTTTTAAGTGTACCAGCTCAAACGAACGAATCATGCATGATTGACACATGTCTAGTCCACAGAATTCATTTACCCCACAGAGTACCTTTGTATAAACTGAAAATTTACCCTGACATACGTCAAACTCAAAATAATGCAATAGTTGCATTTGGTCAATATTTTTTCTTCAGTAAATTGTTTTATACTTCAGAATTGCTTGCTATATGAATTCAACTTAATAAAGAAGTTTTCAATTTACAATCTGATTTAATTTCAAAGGTAAGTGTTATTGCGTATATCTTTAATAATTCGTTGCGCGAAACGAATTCATTTCGACACTCATTAGATTATCTCAGATAGAGTCAAGTACATATTTACGATAAGCCTAGCCTATATAACGACGAGCGCCGTTGAACGGCCGTCGTTAAGGCCATAATAGGAAATGTAGTTTTTATTTTTTTTGTTCAATGGGAGCTGGTTTATTGCTCCTTAAAATTTGACAATGACAAAATAAACTTTTAATGTCTGATAATATTAATACATTACTAAGTGTAAAAGCTACTAATTTATTTAGTTATTTTGAATTAGTGAATATTAAAATGTGGTATGGACCAAATCTACAGAGGTCATATAAATATATGATATTTGCTTCTAAGATGCCGTCATTGAGAATAGACCAAAGTGATCTGAAATGCAACAGGAATGGATGCGACTACTATGGCAATCCTCAGTGGCAGGGCTACTGCTCCAAATGCCACCGAGAGCAGTTACTACGACAGAGAAGAGCAGGTGTGTGTATAAAATTTAAATCTTACTTTACTTAAAATTGTAATAACAAATTGTTGGTTCTGAAAGAGATCTAACCTATGTCGCTTGCATACTGTGAAACTTACAACAAGTGCTTAGTGCCTTAGCTATCACTGCAATGATGAAATTTTTTTTCAATCAGTGTGTCATTTATTTTGCTCTCGCCGAGTCATTACTAACTTATGGATTAAATACGTATGGCCGTACATTTAAAACCTATCTTAACAGTATAAAATCGTTGCAAATCCGTTTTTTAAAATACCTTGTCAAACCACAAACAAAAATTGCATGTAAAGACAATTATGAAAAACTTTTTGTTGCATGTAAAATGCTTCCTGTACATGAGAAGGTCAAGTACCTGCTGGTTCTTGAACAGTTCTATAACGACCAATTTAAAGAAAAAGTGCAAAATAGGTATAATACTAGAAGCGTTAGAGAGCGTAAACTTGTGCGACCACCAGTAAAAAACTACTATGGGAAAAGAACCAACAAATATTTGACCCCCACACTTTTTAATTACCTCGATTGGCTGAGAGAGGATAATACTAGAATAAGTAAACAAACATTAAAAAATAAATTGAAATCTGTTTTCCTTAACGAAGTTGTTGAGAGATGTGAAAAAGTTAGTAAATCCTAATATTATTAGTAGTTTCTGTAGGCCAAATGTTAGTAATTAGTAATTCTTAATAAAAGCAGTAGTTTTTTTTATATAATAGGCTAAATTTTAGTAAATATTTCTTAATAATAGTTTAATACCGGTTTAAAAAAAAAATTAAAACTTGCTTTATTTACACTTTTATTTTCATTAGTTTATAGTTACGTATTTGAACCAAATGTATTAAGACAAGCGCTAATCCCGCCGACAAACTGTTACGCAGTTTGGTGGGTGTGAACAATGTATAAAAGTTTTGGTCCACAATAAATGATTTATTATTATTATTATTAATATTAAGTGTTGCTATACCGTTGTTGATCCAGGTTTCATCTTAGTAATAAATGTACCTTCCTTCCCTGTGATAATCTTTAATTTTTTGAAGGTATAGCTGGCGCCACAAAACAATATTGCGTCTATCTATTAGCACGCTTTTTCTTGATTTTGTGGCATGTTTGAAATTAAAATGTTTAAAAATTTTCCTTAAGTTACTCCCAAGAGAAGTTTGGTAAATCTGGGTCATCATTAACAACCTTAAGAATGTGTACTTTAAATAAGATTTTGGTAAGAAAGTCTACATGCAATAGAAAAAAGTTTCTAATAGAATCTCAAAAAAAAAAAAACGCTATGTGTGAGTGTATAAATATGCAGCTTTGATTTGTGTGATAGTGATGCGATAGTTGTCATCACGCACACTATATCTATAACAAGCTTTACGCTCACAAAGCGCCACGCGCAAAGCTGTTAGGAAATAACACTAAAGTTACCTTTACAATGGTGGGTGCCTCATTTACATAAAAAAAATTGATGTAGTTTTCGCCTTATCGCTAAGGTGAAATCGTCAAATTTATTCTTGAAATTATGTTTCCGTCCAAGTTTTTTGAAGACTTAAATTGTTCGTTTTGTTTGTATTCTTTTAATACACATAACACTGTGGTCGTACAGATTCCCAAAATTTCAGCTGTCTTAAAAACACATTTTTTTTCTGGTACTTCAGTAGGTAATAACAAAGCAGTTTCCTGCTCAAATACGTATTGGGGGGTGACAGGACACCTTGTGGAGCATATTTTTTGAGCAACCTAACCTTAATAATGTAAAACATAATTTTTACTATAACTTGAAATTCTAAGACATTAGGTTAGGGTAACCTGCTCAAAAAATTACCCCTCAATGTAGGGTTGCCAGGTCTTTAAACCGAAAAGCCAGACAGACCATCCAGCTTAGCCGGACATTTTGGTAAAAAGGCCGGACACCCCTAATTATTCAGTCTTAGTCTAACACGATAATATATTTTTTAAAGTAAAACAATGCTTATATCATTTACCATAAAATCTTAAATTAAAATCGAATGAATCAGTTTTGTTTATTATTAATCATTTAATATTTATTACAATATTAATTTCAATAATTGCAATAGTATGTGTTTAAGTACATAAAAAAATGTAAAAAAATGGTCAAATATAAAAAGTCTGACAAAAGCCGGACAGGCCGGACACTATCTAATTTGGCCGGATACTCAATCAAAAAGCCTGTCTGTGTATGACTTTATCCGGACGCCTGGCAACGCTACCTCATGGGGACCTGCCTCCCTGAAGGCTTTACACTGTACCTTTCGAACAACCTGTATAAATAAACACTAACATCAAATTCTTGTTTGATGATGAATGTTTGATGGCTACTGCAAGCTGTCTAATGTAGTATAAGCGGTAACCCTCAAGGATGGATCAAGCATATATACCATGGTTCGTAATTCGCACCTTGCATACACGCAATATCGATGAAGTATTTCGCTTTTCATGCTTAAGTGTATTTATTACATTGTTATATACTTTCATTTTTCTTTACACACTCTATATGTTCTTGCATATGGATCACATTGGTATTATAAAAGCTTGCAATCTATTAGAGATCATTAGTGAGAGCTTATCAAATTTAGATTTTGTTACATGAATTATGAAACAGGTAACTTTATTTTTTTAGCCATATAGATGAATTTTTAATAATGTTGGTAAGAGTAAATGTTTAACAGGAAAACATTTGTTTAAATACTAAGTATGTTAGGAATGTATTATGCGCTTATATTTATTCTGATTGAAATAAGACTTATATGAGCTGTTGTAGCTCAGAGGCTTACAGTAATAACTCATAATAACCTCGGAACTAGGTGACCTGTGCTTTAATTTTTAAACTACTTACTTAGTTCTTGCTTACTTAGTTCTTTTTGTTTAAATGTTTTATCGTAATTTTTAACTGCTTCTCTTTTAGAATTAAAAAAAATATTTTGAAGACATGTGAAGTCTGCCAACACGCATTGGGGCAGCAAATACTTCCTTGCTCTAAAAAACCCTTTTAGGGTTTAAGGGGAAAGGCCTGTGCCCTGCCATGGGACTTATATAGACTGTAACTTTTAACTTTAAAATTCTTAGAAAACATCTCAGCTACAAAATGTATTTTAAGTCAAAAACATGTATTGGGGTTTCTATTATGTTATAACAAAAATAAAATAAAGATTTAATGAGAGCAGGTAGCATGATCTTGACAGGTCGAAAATAAATTACAAACTCTCTGCTTTGCGTACGACGTGTGCAATATTATAACTATTCAAATGAAATTAAAAAAAATATTTTTACATTGTAATCCAATTCTAAGCTATGTTCAAAACTTCAAGTCTTTAGCTTAGGGATTTAGATAGGGAATGAAAGTGAACGCAATTAAGAAGAAAGTGATGGTTTTTGAAAGAGAAGAAAGCAAAACGGTATGTGAAATAAGAATAGAAGGAGAGTTAATTGAGCAAGTGGATGAGTTTGTGTATTTGGGATGTGTATTTAGCAGGGATGGTAGATATGATAGGGATATAGAACGACGAGTAAATGCAGGGAATAGATTGGATGGGGCACTACACTCTATTATGAAGAACCAGAATGTGACAAAAAAGGCACGTATGGTAATTCATAATGTGGTGTTAGTCCCTACTTTAATGTATAGTAGTGAAAGCTGGGTGTGGCATAAGAAGCACGAAAGTAGAATAAATGCTGTAGAAATGCGGTCTTTAAGGAATATGCTAGAGTTGAATCTGAATGACAGGGTGAGAAATTGCGTGATAAGAGATAAATGTGGTATGCAAGATGATGTTGTGACCAGGATTAAGAAAGGAATGCTTCGGTGGTTTGGTCATGTAGAAAGAATGAATGAGGAAAGAGTGACAAAACAAATTTATATGGCAGATGTGAACGGCCGAGTCGGGAAGGGACGCCCTAGGAAAAAGTTTATCGACCAAATTGGTCGATATTTTGAAAATGGGCCACGTTAGAAGTACCCTTAACCGATGAGCATGTATGCGTAGATATATGGATGTAAAGGAGGCGAAAGAGGTATGTCAGGATCGTGCCAAATGGAAGTCCGTAGTCTCTGCCTACCCCTCTGGGTGACAGGCGTGAGTGTTTATGTATTATGTATTAAATTCGACCCAAACAGACATACATGAAAGTCAGGTTAGACGGCTTTATGGTGCAGTGGCTTGGCAATGACTTGCAGCGCTAAGGGCCTCAGGTTAGAATCTCGCACGCAAAAAGTATTTGTATGGCCTACAAATAATTGTTCCAGGTCTGGATGTTTGTCTTATGAAAATTATGTTTGTAAAGAAGTGATTGGCATTTAATTTGCTGATGAGATTATTAATGACCATATTCAGGAGAGGTGAAAGAACCCCACCCTGCGGGCATCCTTTCTTGATCTGGATTGTTTGTGATTCGCCAGCATTCTTTATTGTTCGTGTGTTGAGAATGTTTACTATCCAGTCAATCAGTGCAGGTTCAACTTTATGTCTACTTAGTGCAAATTTTGAGCTGGAGAAATTAGTTCTCTCAAAAGCACCTTCTTTCTATATTTATGAAGGAACCTAGACATATTGCTTTGTTTTGGATGCCAGCAGATCTCGGGTCTCATCGTCGGCCACCGTGTCGAAGTTGGACGGCTTCCTTGCCACTCAGTGAACTGCCGCTGAGCTCGATCTCCACGACCTGGAATGTTATGTAGACCGCCCCACACATACATGCGAGGCGGCGTCCAGCTTTTTACAGGGTCGGGATATGGTCCTCTGGCATCGAAACAACGAGAAACCACCCATGAGTCTGTTTGTCGGCCTTGAGCAACAGCCAATCTTTTATATTTACCCAGCGGTTCTGGTATGCCTGCACACGACCAAAGTCGCGTGAGTATTTACAGGCCACCTGGGCGTCAGGTATGAGGATATCTCATTTGCCCCTTTGTGGTATCTCCGGCTGTTTCTTGATGACCAGCGAGGTGTTGGGCTTAAGGTCGATGGTAGCGA